AGAAAAGAAAAATTGTGTCATGGTGGATTTAATTGTGATAAATGGCATTTAATGCATTAAAATAAAGTGTATGCTGGGTATGAGGGCAGCTGGCACATCTGGAAGGGGGTAACTAATGCAGTAAGAAAACATTTGGGAACCTGTTGTAGGATATGTAGCACCTGAAGTTACTTTTAACCCACTTTATGAGAAATTTAGTGATCTTAATCATTTATGTTTGATAAACCATATCCATAATTTTTATTTATATTTAAAAGTCATAAGCAAACAGTAGGCTTTTAAGGCTAGGAGGCAAAAATTATACATCCCTTTGCAATATTTGCAATAAATGTATTCCAAATCCTATGAAAGTGAAACTGAGTAGAAAGAGAGTCAACTTCCTACTCCTGACATCTTTTTCTATTCCTTAGGGGAGGACATACGCCGCCACCACCAGGAAGAGGCTTTAAGGGAATATCACAAGGCAGAAAGACTCCACACTGCACCAGGAGCAAACAAAACTTAAGGGCACGTTCAACCAGACGCTGCTGAAAGCAGGGTTTGTACCTAGACAGTCCCAGAGTCACCTCTTTGAGACCTCAATGCAGGTGAGGGGCCTACAGCCAGGGGCGTATTCAGCACCCGGGGACACGGGGGTTGGAGGCTTGTCCCGGGCTGGTGGTGACAAGAGTGAGCCATAAGCACAGGATGAGCAGAGCCAGCTGCTCCTCCGAGAGACGGGGCAGGAGGCCAGGGCCGAAGCCGGGAGAGCGCTCACAAAACACCGCATCGCAGGGAAGCGCCCCCTGGGCACGGATGGGACGCGCCGCTCGGACCACGGGCCTGGGAAGGCGGCGGCGCACGAGCGTCCCCGTGGGGCAGAACGAGGAAAAAGCAAAGCGGGCAGCAGAGCCCGAGACGCCCGGGGGCGCCGCGTGGGGCTGGTCCAGTCGCAGTAACCGCAGACGGAGCGAGGGGGCGCCCGGGGCCCCACCCGGTGCACCAGCCGCAGCCGCGAGGGCCGGCGCAGAGGA